AGAAGAGATGAGTCATTCCTGTATGTTAAGTGTAGATAGTAGCCAGAGATGTTCAGAGATGTCCTTTGTCCATTTGGGGAATTTGCCAAATATTATCAGTTTGTTAAGAGGATTGATATCCTCCCCCGATCTGTTGAAGTGATCTTTCAGGTTTTCTCCTATCAACTGTTAATACCTTGAATTATGTTTTTCTGTTTGTTCTGCCTGGCGCTCCTGGGGTATGTTTTGCTTGGTAACAGTGTGTTACATTTTACATTATTGGATTTACATTATTGAATTTACATTATTGGATTCCCTTCGATAATTCTTTGTGAAGGATTTTTGCATCAGCATTTGGAAGTAGTCTTGATTTATAATTTTATTACAGTAACTTCATTAGATTTTGGTGTAAGGGTTGGGCTGTCCTCAAACAAGTTAAGGAGTACTCCCTCCTTTTTTTCTTACTTATTTATTTAGAAATAAGATTGTGCTATGCAATCCAGGCTGGCCTCAAATTCACAACCTCCACGCTTCCACCTCCCCAGTGCTGATAATATAAGCATGTGCCTCAGTGTTCAGCCTCCTGAGTTTTTGTTTGTGTTTTGTTTTGTTTTTTTCCAAATATTTCTTTTCTCTCTGGCTGTCCTGGACCTCACTCTGTAGACCAGGCTAGCCTCAAACTCACAAAGATCCACCTGCCTCTGCCTCCCGAGTGCTGGGATTAAAGGCATGCGCCACCACACTTGGCACATAACTTTTTAAAACTTATTTTTTTCCTAGGCTGAGAGAATTTACCAGTGAAATCACCTGAGTTTTTATTGAAAAACACTTTTAAAAATCAGTTTGTTAAACAATTCTTGTACGTGAGCAACTGAGACCTGGTAGTTTTAAAACAAGCAAATTTTAAAAGGTTTTGAAGAGTTAGAACTTATAAAGATTGTCCAGCAAGTTGAAGTATCTGATGCCAGCTGGAAGCTAGTCAGGTTTTCACTGTTGGTCAACTGCTAGCTAGCTTTTTCTGGTTCTGGAAAAGTAACATAATGCTTTAGACCTGAATACTATTTTCTAGAAAACAGTTTTTTTTCAAACTATTGAAGAAAGTTATTCCCATGATCTGTCCTTCCTCTTTAGTTCAGGGCTGATAAGTTTTGTTATATTGCTATTTAAAGACATGTAACTAGGGCTGGGGAGCTGGCTCAGTTGGTAAAGTGCCTGCTACACAAACAAGGTCCTCAGTTTGTATCCTTAGCACCCAGCTATGATGGCACACCCTGGAATCCCAGTGCTAGGGGTAGAGGGCAGGGGTGTGGAGACAGGAGAGTGCCTGGAGTTCATGGGCTAGACAGCCTAACCAATTCAGTGAGCTGGTTCAGTGAGAACCCCTGCCTCAGAAATAAGGCAGGGTGTGGAGAGATGGCGCGGCGGTTAAGAGCACTGGCTGTTCCTTCAGTGGACCCAGATTCCATTGTAGTATACAGACGTACATGCAGACAAGATGAAAACACACATAAAATAAAGTAAATAAGGTGGAGAAGTGATTGAGGAAGACCCTCAGTGTCAGCTTTGGTCATCCACACTCAAGCATTATACTCACATGTTCATGTCCACATGAACACATACACCATACGCATACATGCACACACAAAATGAAGGTGAGGTCATGCTGCATATGTCCGCTACCATAAAGTAGAGGAGTGGAGGGTGACGGAGGGAGAGCCTCAGCAAGAGGCAGAGCTGACTATAGAGGCTGAGGGGAGCAGGAGGAGCCGGAGAATGCAGCTCCTGTGCAGGATGCAGGAGTGCAGGACATGGTGTACCTAGGCCATATCCCTCAGCGATTCCACAGTGCCTGTGCCTCAGGACTGCTTTCTGAGACACCCAGCAAAAAAGCAGCAGCAGTGGCCGCAGGTAGAGAGAAGGAATCCAGATACAGCAAAGACTATGCAGAAAGCTGGGTGTGCTGCACAAGTAAGTGCACAGCACGTAGCCAAGCAAGTGGCAGCCAGTCTCCACAACACATCCATAGGTGCCCAAGGCACAGTCCCTTTTCGTTTCTCTCCTCTCCTCTCCTCCCCTCCCCTCTCCTCCCCTCCCCTGCCCTCCTCTCCCCTCCCCTGCCCTCCCCTCCCCTGCCCTCTCCTCCCCTCCCCTCCCCTGCCCTCCCCTGCCCTCCCCTCCCCTCCCCTCCCCTCTTCTCCTCTCTTCATTTCTCTTTTCCCATCCCTCTCTCTCTTTCTTTTTTTGGTTTGGTTTTCAAGTCAGAGTTTCTTTGTGTAGCCCTGGCTGTCCTGGAACTCTCTGTAGACCAGGCTTAGAGGCGTGCGCCACTACTGTAGGTCCGCCACTGCTGTACGTCCTGAAACAGTCCCTTTCAGTGTGATTTGTGGAGCCCCAAGTACTTGCATCTTTTTATGTGGTCTTATTTCAGCGAACACTTTGCCTTTGAGCACCAGGTGCACAGGCAGTGGTTATGAGCAGAGATCACCAAGCAAAAGCAAGAGTCTGACTTCAGTCTTTGAAGGATAATGCTTTCTTGCTGCTAATGGGGATCCTGCTGCCTAGGTGGACCTAGCAGTGAGCAGGAGCAGAAGTTCCAGAAGGACAGCACAGACTGGAGGGTGGGAATGAGCTGACCACTGCCTGAGGACCAGGCACACTCCCACAGACAGCTCCCCATCACCTGCAGAGACCGTGCAGGGATGCTAGCGAGTGAGAGTCTCCTGATAGAAAAAGAAGCTGCTTGCATCTGCTAGCCCTGCCCTCTTCCCGTCTGCCTTCTGCAGAGTGCAACCGACTGTCCAGGCAGACGTTTCCTCTGTTCCTCAGACTTGGAAGTTTTGTGGGCCTCCTTTCCCCGCCATGATCAAATCCTGTGAGCGCAGCTGGTAACCTTAATCACACCAGGAGGCTGAGGACTGCTGCACATACCTGTTGGATCCTGTTTGACTTCCGGTTGCCTGCCTCTTTCCCAGTGGGCTGCTAACAATACTGGTTCCTAGTTCCACTCCCATTTGGTCTGTGGTGTTTATTCACTACAGCAAGGGCAGAACTAGATACTGGGCTAGTGGCCCAGACTAGATTGGGAGCTTCAAAATATGTTTATTGAAAAGAAAAATAAATATAACTGTAAGAACTTACAGTTCTGATACAGGCATAAACCTAGACAGTTTTAAAATTCAACTTAAGTAAACCTGTAAAACCAAAATAAATTCAAATCAACATTAATGTAATAGTGACCCAGACTTGAGATGAATCTTTCTTCTGCTATTACGCTGGCTGGCTGTGTTGGTCCACACTGGTAGGTAGGGTATGCTGAAGAGGTGGAGGTAAGAGGACCCTAAGCTAGAAGCCAGTCAGGTTATACCTTTGAGGCTGGAGAGATGGCTTAGGGATTAAGTCTGTACTACTGTTGCAGAGAACCCAAATTTGGTTCCCAGCACCTATGTCACATGACTCAGCCATCTATAACTTCAGCTTTGGAAGGATCTGATGCCTTTGGCCTTCAGGGCACCATCACTGAATGTGCACACACACACAGGCGCACACACACACAATTTTAAAAAATTAATCTTAAAGAATGCCAGAGACAGAATAATGTTATGAAGAACATAGACTCTAAAGTGCAACATAAGGTCAGATATTAGGTCTGCTACCTATTTTGTACAAGTACCTTAATTGCCTCTCATTTATAATATTAAGATAATCTGTGGCTGGGCGGTGGTGGTGCACGCCTTTAATCCCAGCACTCGGGAGGCAGAGGCAGGTAGATCTCTGGGATTTCAAGTCTAGCCTAGTCTACAGAGCAAGTTCCAGGACAGGCTCCAAAGCTACACAGAGAAACCCTGTCTCGAAAAACAAAACAAAACAAAAAACAAACAAACAAAAGATAATCTAAATCACTGAATCAAATTAAAATTATTTAAATAATTAGGTTTTTTATATGCCTGACAATAGTAATTGGCCAATAAATATTAGTTCAAATAGTAAGTAGCATTACTTTTTGATATGCAAGCCTATAGGTCGGTGTTGGGCTTAATGGTAAAGCATCTACTTCCATAGTTAATGTGTTTCTGATTTTGAGTTTACTAGTGCATGGAACATCTCTTGCTTAACTTAACGTACAGGGCAATGTTAAAAACTATGGAGGCTTGTTTTCTAATCTGGGGTAGTCATCTTACACACAAACTCTTCCAGCCAGGACTCTTCAGTTTTAATATTTAATGACATGTCACTTGGTAAGGCTATAATGCTGATATCCTATCATCCATATCAGATATTGAAAAACACCATGTGAAGTCATTTTCAGGTTTTGAAAATGAACAGGGCAGATAAAATACACATGAAGGTCTTTGTGTCTCCCTGTCTAGCCTTTCCCTTACCTGAAGACTTCACAGGTCTCTTCCACGTCCCTCTCCATCCTTTTGCCCCTACCCAGCTGAGGACTTAAAGCCACTGGTTCTGACACCTACCCCTAAGGAGTGATTTACCCTGTTTTAGTTCTTTGTCCTTGGGGCCCTTAGGAGGTAGAGTAGACCTCTGACCTTTCCCTGTGTCTGGAGGGAGTGGTGCCATTTCAGGAGTTCGGAGTGCCTCTGATGCGGCGAGAACCCCTGGCTGCTGTCCTTGCTGCTTTACCCACTGCCCGTGCCCAGCCAGTTTCCTTCTAGCCTCTTCTTCCTTTTCTTCCAAGACTTTCTTCCCTGGCTTGCTGAGTGTAGCGCCCCATTCTCTCCTTGGTTCTCACTTGTCTTCTTTTCTAGTGTCCAGCAGATTGACTTTCTCATGACATTCGTCCTCCAATGGATCCAGACTTGTTTTCAGCTCTGCCTCCAGTAGTGAAGTCTACTAGATGGTGCCGTTAGAAGAGCAGTCCTCTTGGTTGTTGTAGGAAGTGCGCACGTTTTGTGAAGGACTGAGCAAATGAACCTCCTGTCACTACAGAAGGAAAATGCACCATGGAGAAATGCCTCCAACTTCTGCCCAGTGCTCTCTCTTCACTGTTTCTTTTCTTCTCTGCAGGAATTGTTATAGCAATAAAGGAAACGGACAGATTTGTCTTCAAATCCCACACTCTGTGGACAGTCAGCTGTCCCCATTCCTGTTCCTCTGCAGTGGTGGCATCTGCGTGCAGCTTAGAAGTATATTTCTTTTTTTATTCCGAGTGATTATGGTTGGAAAAGATGAGTTCTATGGGAATGTCTTGGGTAATAACAGCTTCTCATTTTGATTATTTCCCTTTAGGAAAGACACTGCTGATCCTGTAACATGGAGGATTGTCTTCATACCTCATCTGAGAATCTGTCCAAATTGGTCAGCTGGGCCCACAGCCATGGGACTATTTGCAGCCTCATTCCAAACCTGAAACACTTGCTGTCTGAAGGTTCCCATGGGAACCTGACTGCAATGTGGGGCTGCAGTGCTGGTCATGCTTACCACTGGCCACTAACAGCTACTTGCAGAGCTGGGTCCCAAGAGAGGGTTTGTTTCCAGGACAACCGAAGTTTTAATTCTGATAGTCCCAGTATAATTGGGGTGCCTTCTGAGACGCAGACTAGCCCTGTGGAGAGATACCCCGGGAGACCTGTGAAGGCAAAGCTGGACTGTAACCGGACCAGAGACTCTTGTGACTTCTCTTACTGCAGTGAGCCTTCTGAGCTGGACGAAGCTGTTGAGGAGTACGAAGATGAAAACACACTGTTTGACATGGTTTGTGAGTCTTCTGTTACAGATGAGGACAGTGACTTTGAACCCCAAACCCAGAGGCCTCAAAGCATTGCTCGCAAAAGGCCCGGAATAGTCCCATCTTCTATCCATTCAAGTTCCCAGGGACAGATGGTTGATGAGTGCAGTAATGATGTCATCATCAAGAAAATCAAGCAAGAGATTCCAGAAGATTATTACATTGTGGCAAATGCAGAGCTGACTGGAGGAGTGGATGGACCAGCCCTTTCATTGACACAGATGGCAAAGCCCAAGCTTCAGACTCATGCTGGTCCCTCCTGTGTAGGGTCTGCTAAACTGATTCCCCATGTAACATCCGCCCTCAGTGCGGAGCTAGACCCACACAGTATGTCAGCATCCCCCTCTGTGATCTCCAGACCAATCATCCCAAAGACTGCTAGGGTGTCTCTGGCTTCACCAAACAGAGGACCCCCTGGTGCCCATGGCACCGCCCACCAGGTGACCATGCAGATGCCTGTGAGCACATCACATCCTAACAAGCAGATCAGTATCCCTTTGTCTGCCCTTCAGCTGCCTGGACAGGATGAGCAAGTTGCTTCTGAGGAGTTCCTGCCCCATTTGCCTAGCCAGGTCTCATCTTGTGAGGTAGCCCTTTCTCCCTCGGTTAACACAGAGCCTGAAGTGAGCTCCAGTCAACAGCAGCCCCCTGTTGCTCCAACCATAACCACTGAAGCCACTGCACAGTGCATTCCAGGTATGGAACACGAGGTGACCATAAGTCCCTCATCCGTGTACTTTAGAGAATCCTGCGCCGTCAGCACTTCTAAGACCACTGTTTTAATTTGCTAGGGTACAGTCGTTTTTCATTCTCAGGAAGACAGAAATAATGAAATCTGTTACATGTAATGGATACAATGGAGAAACTCCATCTGAAGGCCATCCATTTGGTAGATGCACCTTAGGGTTGAGCTGACGACTGGAAGATTGTGTTGTTGATGGCCAGATTTAAGATTCATATCCAACCTTAGCTGAGCATTTTATAGTTCACTTATTTTTGAAAAAGTTTCTTTCTCCTATTGGTAACAAGGTAGTTAAACCAACTGACGTTGAATAAGGTATATGATAATAGATTTTTCCTTACTATTTATGTGAACCAATTTCCTATTGCTGTTCCTTTTAATTAGTGCGATAACTTAAACTAATTTTTAAAACACAGCAGGTAACTTCTTAAACAAGTGTTTGGCCCTGTCTCTCAAAACTTAAAAAAATCAGAAAACATACATTTCTGGAGTAGGCCAGCTTAACTCGGTGCATTCACAATTTGAGGCTTGTAGAATTATTCACAGCTGCTACCTCTACAGTTCTAACATTCTAATGCTCTTAAATTCAAATGTCCATTGTTTATTTGAGCTAGGATATTGTGGTATAAAGGGGGTTTGGTGACCATACTTTGGGGGTCTACAATTGAAATCTAAAAGGGCATAAGTAGATATATGGGCAAGCATGAATAGACACACAGAATATAGAAAGCAGAACACTGTGGTACATTTAGTCCTTCTCAAAAGGGCCAAGTGTTTGGGGAAACACCTTTTTTTTTTAAGATTTATTTCTGAGCCGGGCGGTAGTGGCGCACGCCTTTAATCCCAGCACTGGGAGGCAGAGGCAGGCGGATCTCTGTGAGTTCGAGACCAGCCTGGGCTACAGAGTGAGTTCCAGGACAGGTTCCAAAGCTACACAGAGAAACCCTGTCTCGGAAAAACAAAAAACAAAAAACAAAAAAAAAAAAAAAAAAAGATTTATTTCTTTATTTTATGTATATGAGTGCTGTATCTGCATGTAATGCCGGAAGAGGGCGTCTGATCCCACTGTAGATGATTGTGAGCCACCATGTGGTTGCTGGGAATTGAACTCAGAACCTCTAGAAGAGCAGCCAGTGTTCTTAACTGCTGAGCCATCTCTTTAGCCCCCAGGGAAACATCCTTAAAAGACAGAGCTAACCACACTTTTGCCCTGAAACTTCCTGGAATGAAGTTGCCTCTACAAATAGGCAGTTAGAGTAGTGTCAGCCCCAGGGTCTCCAAAGGCAACTGACCACTGCAGACTTTCTACCGAAGCCCTGCGCTGTCAGTAAGGACACGTACTGACAACGGTCAGTTCACCGGCTGCTTTGAAAACCATAAAAGGGACTTTTTAAAATTTTACTTTGTGTTTATGTCCACACACACACACACACACACACACACACACACACACACACACACACGTGTGTGTATCCCATGCTTGCCTAGTGCCCAAGGAGGTCAGAAAGGGACATCGGATTGTGAATCATCATGTGGGTACTGGGAACTGAACCAAGTCCTTTTCGAGAGCAACAGCTGCTCGTCAGTGCAGGGGCCTCGCGGGCTGCTGAGAGCGCTCCTTTAGAGTGCCGCTCAGCCCAGAAGGAGCCCTCTCCTCCTAAGCAGTCTCACTTTTCTTCTCCCAGTTCTTGGCAACAACTTACCTACTTTTTATGAATTTACTTATTTTATGTATTTTACTGTATAACCTCTTGTGACTACTTTGATTTAGTGTTGGTATTTTCAGGACCAATCCATATTAGAGCATTTTTTATTGCCAAATAACATTTTACTATAAATATACTTTATTTTTCTTCAGTCAATGGACAGACATTTGGGCTGTTCCCACCTTTGGTCTGTTAGCTTCTATGAACATTTATATACAAGTTATTATGTGAACATTTCCTTTGATTTTTGTGTGGGCAGCTACCTCAGGATGAGAGGCCACAAATCTGTTTGCTAAAGCCATTTGGTTTTAACTCTTAGCACTAAGGGACAAAGGTTCTTGTTTCTCTGTATGTCACTAACACATTATTTTCCATGCTTTAAAAATTCCTCTTTTGGACTAGAGAGATGGCTCAGCGGTTAAGAGCACTGGCTGTTCTTCCAGAGGTCCTGAGTTCAATTCCCAGCAACCACATGGTGGCTCACAACCACCTGTAATGAGATCTGGTTCCCTCTTCTGGCCTGCAAGGACACATGCAAATAGAACACTGTATACATAATAAATAAATAAATAAATCTTAAAAAAAATTTCTCTTTTATTTTCAACACACAGGAGGCAGAGGCAGGCAAATCTTTATGAGTTTGATGCCAACCTGGTCTATATATAGCAAGTTGTAAGCCACCCAGGGCTACATAAGGAGACCCTGACTTAAAACAAAAAATTGCTATGCTATCGCATATATAAAGTAGTCTTATGATCTAGCCTGTATTATTCTAGTAACTAATGGTATTGAGCATTTCTCATGTTCTTAACAGTCATATATGTATATTCTTTTGAAAATTTTTAGAGTCTTTGCTCATTTTAAAAATAGATTCTCTTGTCTACTTTGAGTTGTAAGAGTTCTCTGTATTCTGGATGTAAGTCTCTTACATGATTTGCAAGTATTTTCTCCTATTCTGTAGGCTCACACTCTCCCTCCCTCCCTCTTTTCCTCCCTCCCTCCCTCCCTCCCTCCCTTCCTTCCTTCCTTCTTTCCTTCATATATTCCCCCCTCTCTTACCTCCCCCTCCCTCCCTCTCTCCCTCTCTTGTCGTCCCCCCCCCAGAGGAAGGCCTGGACCTTCTGTTTTGTTTTGTTTTTTTCCTCTGCCTCCCAAATGCTAGAATTACAGGCATTATCATGTTCAGTTATGCTTTCTTTCTTTCTTTTTTTTTTTTAAGAACTTTATACTTTAATTATTGTATAATCCTGTGGGCTCAGGCTAATTTTCACATTTCTGGACACATGTGTATCAGGCAGAAAAGATCTTTGTACTAGGAAATCTAATTTTTAATATATGGAGGTCTAAGCAGTATTTTTCACTTAAATAGTTGGTTTATTTCTTCCTTTTTTAAAATAGACAACCTGACAGAGTTTTCTATATCCTCAATTTATATTTAATGAAACAGTTCAAAAATACATTTTGCAGAGTTTAGTGTGTTCACCGGCTTACTAAGACTTCTTCTTTGATCCACACTAACCCTGTGAAATAAGTTGTGGGACCTGACTGCAAACCACATTGAAGGTTACTGTAGAGTGATTTGGACAAGAAATTCAACCTTTTTGAAAAAGAAGCTTCATTAATTTCATTAATATTGAAATTGTACTTTTTATATCAGCTATGAAAATCAGGCATGACCAAGGACAGCATGTACTGCATCCAGCCACGACCTGATCTGTCTTTACTCTCACAAGGAGAATTAGTTTGGCCTGGTTAGTTTACACTGCTCAAGAGAAGCACTCTGAAGAGCCAGTAATGGCAGGTTTCTGAGATGTGGTTCTCATGTTGTGGAAAGATACCAAATTTCCAACATGCTACTGGCTTCAGAGAAACTCTGTTTGGATTGGAAACATCAGTGAGTTTAATAAAAACCCAATTAACACTTCCCTTTTGTGAGAGTTACATAAATTTAACATTATTTGCCTTTACTTCCTGGAGCCCAATGTAGGTTCTACATTCTAAATTTTAAAGTTTAACTTATTTACTTGTGTTTGTATTTTATTTATAGTTGATGATCACATACACACACACACACACACACACACACACACACACACACACACGCACGCACACACACACAATCCAGCATATACAAATGTATGTGATTACAGTATAAGTGGGCCCTACACAGTCAGTATATTAAGCGGGATAGAACAGGCATTTGAACACCATGGAAGCCTGGGTCTTTCTCAGATCATCGCAGTAATACTACATGGCTTTATAGATTCTATTTTAATAATAATCTGATAAGTGACTCATTGAGTCAGCCTGAAGCAAAGAGAAGCTGTTTTAGTTTTAGTGGTACCATGCAGTCATTTCAGCACATTATAATAAACTCGGAGTCTCCTCAGATGCGTCGGTGTCATATTAAGGGAAGAGATCAAAGCACTTCCTCCTAGTCTCATCTAACTGGGAGTGAGCCCAGATTCGAATTCTCTACTTCACTCTGCATGGCCCTGTCTGTTGTGTGAGCCTGTGCCTGCCTGAAGGCGGTCTTGTGAATCTGTTCCCGTGTCTCTCCCTAACAGAGGACGTTGCTCTCTTTTATTGAACAGCACAGAAAGCATCACATGGGGAAGGAATGAGGGACACTTTAAAGAAATCTTTAACAGATTTTTACGTGGGATTATGTCACTGACCCCAGCTAATCCAGATAACAAATAGTATTACAAACATCATTGTTTATCAAGCAATATCTGTATGTTGCAATTAACATTTATAGTGGATATTTATTTTATAAGATTGCTTTCAACCTCTGTTTTTGCTTTTTTCAGCAAACAATCATTAGAATACACAGACATTACTCTAGGAGTCAGGAGTGGTGCACACCTTTAATTCCAGGACTCCAGAGGCAGGAAGATCTCTGTAAGTTTGAAGCTAGCCTGGTCTATATAGTGACTTCCATGAGAGCCAGGGCTATGTAGAGAGATCCTGTCTGTAAAAAAAAAATAAAGAGGGTAGGGGGTGTTACAGTTATACATGAGCTTAAGTTGTAAAGGTTGATTACATGAGAAATCCAGGGCAAGTAAAGTTGGTTGTTGCTTTGTTCTCTTAAAGGCACGTTAAGCAAACAGGCTGAGTACACAGTAGGCTAGCAGCCGTAAGTGACCTCAAGGTGTATTAACCTTGTGAGGTCCAGCAAAAGTTCTGTTCTTTTAGAATGTAGGCGATATTTCCATAATGCATTGCCACAGTGCTGATACTACTTA